AATTTTCTAATGTAACGTGTATGGAACTGATCACTTCTAGCAGGGCTAATTTATTTTGAAAATCATCAGACTTATCTAGACAAAGACTCATTGTTAAATGCAGTGTGTTTCTTGGATGGACGGGCTGGTTTGTTTTTTGGCTGAGCGATGTTGCACAAAAAATGAACAGTGTTTGTTTAAGAAACACAGTGATGGAGACCTTTGGCAGGGGTGTTGCTCACATAGAATCATAGAATGGTTTGGGTTGGAAGGGACCTCAAAGATCATGGATTTCCAACCCCCCTGCCCTGGGCAGGGACACCTCCCACTAGCCCAGGTTGCTCCAAGCCCCATCCAGCCTGGCCTTGAACCCCTCCAGGGATGGGGCCCGTCTCCCCGGCGAGCTGGCTGGGTGCAGCCTCAGCAGCGACGCGGGGCGCTGCCCCAGACCAGGCTCCCCTGAACCACTTCTCACACCCCCGCTGGCCCCTCATCCTGTGCCACTACCTCAGCCCATGCATTACCCACTGCTATAGATTATTTGAAACTAAAACATCTTATCATGTTAACTATATACAAAAAGACTATCCTGCGTGACCATTTCTGCGTCAACAGGAACATTCCCTACAGACTGTTTACAAGCATCTTATTGCGTGCACTCTGGTCAGCTCTACAGCAGGAACTACCTGGGGTCTCTGGAAGGGCCAGATTCCTCACCCACCATGTCAAATGAGCACAGCAATTTGTCTTGGCGCTGCAGGAGCTGCCTGGGAGCAATCCTTTGAACTGTCTGAAATCCACACCTGATGATCTCCTGCTAAAGTTAGTCAAATCCTTTGTTGTGGAGATGGTGAGGAGCTGGGTCTGTCACCTTGTCTTTGCTCAGTTGAGTGTCCCTTCTGTGCAGGGACTGGCTGAGGGGTTCACGGAACACCCAGGGGGTTAATGAGTTTAGCACAGTAAGTGTGGACACAGGGACATCCCTAAGACCCAACACCACTACAATTACAACCAAAGGGTAACCTGACTTTCATCTGTATGTCTCACACAAAACTGTAATTCCACAGCTCTTGCCACAGCACCTCTGTAATCGAAAACCATGCTGAACAGCATTCATCCAGATGTGGAATGAGATAGGCAACTCGTGATTCCCCGTGGGTTGCCTTCTGTCTTATGGTTTAACTGGACACAGGCTTTCCCTTTTCCTGGCAGATCACGCTGGTTTGCTCTCTAGAGAAATCTCTTCCCAAGATTCTGCTTTTTTTTTTTCCCCAGAATGAATTCATGTAATGAGACTTAATTGCTAGTTTGTATTTACTATTGGCTTTGCCTTATTACATCCCCTCAGCCATAGCTGGAGCAAGAGAGACATGGTAGAGCTACAGTCAGTGGGGCAGGGTAAACAGGAGAGTCACAAAACAGCTCCAAAAACCAGAAGGGTCCTGTAGCATTCCAGCAATTAGTAACTCTACTTCATTTAAGATATTGGCTTAACAAACTGACAGAAAATATCCCTTGGCTGCTATTTCCCAGGCCTTATCTAACTTCTGAAAGATTTCTTTTCTTAAAAATGATAAAGATCAGGTAACAATTTAATGCCAAAGTATGGGAGAAGTACTTACCCACTCAGCTGCTCTTATTTAGTCCATTTTCTGAGCTGTGAGGGGACCAGATTGTCTCTTGGCATTTCACAATCTATATCATATGAGTTAACATACCGTCTCAGTTGGACACTTTTTCTTGGTACTGTGTGTTTCCTGGCTTGTCAGCACTTCAGCTTTTCTTGCCCCAGCCGCAGATTGGGATTTGGTTCGGAATGCTGTCTACCTTTGGAAGGACTGTAGTACTGGCATCTTGCATATCTCTGTTCTGATTATTTTCAATATCAAGTGCTAATATAATTTGCTTTTTGACTCAACTGTGGCAATTCAAGAACACTAATACCAAAACATCTTGCTGTAGCATTGACCCGTCTTCCCCCCTCCATCAGCTTAATTCAGGCTAATTAAGAAGAAATTGTATCTGTACCTAGTTATTTTCCAGGATTTTCGTGCCATACCCATTCTACACTGTCACAGAAAAGGAATCCTTTCTATTCTTCTATCACGTGATATAAAATTCCTATAGTAAAAATAGGAATATATCATTCCAGCACATATCCCAGAATTACTTAACCTGTAATCTTGACTGCAGCAATTACTTGTATCTTGCTCCTCTGAAGAACTTAAGATAGAGGGAAGCTGGTGTTAATTACTGTGTTACTAAGTTTCACAGTACAGACTCACCTGCATTATCCACAGCAGAGATCTGTTGTTTCACAAAGTAGTAGCAAGTGTTCCAGTGGACACAACATCCTGCCCAAACCCCCTTATCTGTGATGTTGAGTATTCAGAAGTTTACAAATGTCTGCCTTTACACACCAGACATTTTCAAATGATCAAATCCTTGTTTTCATTTACAGATAATTTCCTTCTAAACAGTGGGTGACAGATTTGTTTACTGCTGGATCATATACCCAATAGGGATTTTCAGTTCAAACCTGATGGCCAAATTTCAGGTGTTTTCCTCCATGCCTTTGCCAACGGAAAAGGAAGTCCTGCCTTCTGCTGTGCTCTCCCTCCTTCTGTTCAGTCACAGTTGGGCACTTATCCAGCAAGGGACACAAAATGCATGGTGGTTGGACACACACAAATTTTCAGGAAATATGATAATCACTTCAAGCCACATAGAAAAGTTTAAGAGCTTAAGAAAACTCGTGAGCTTGAAGCTTGAAACTTCAGCTATTAGGAGTCTGCATTTATTCCTGTTAGGAAAAAGATGTGACAGCTGGGCATGGAAATAAACCAAAGAAAAGGTGTTACATTGCTACAGTAGACAATTATCAATAACAAAATGAAATGCAAAACATTGTAAAAATAGCTGTGAGAAAAAATAATTTCCAGGATTAACCCAGGAAGCATGATCAACGTTAGTTTGCTCATTTACAATAATATTCAAGCAAAGTCAATCATAGGCTGTGTTGTCTATGAGAGACCTTATAGAAGCCTCTACAGACCCTCATGCCAGCTCTGGTGCCCTGCAAAAATAAGGAGGTGGCACCCGAGAGACATTGTCTGGTAAAAGATGCCTCCTGGAGGGCTGCTGTGGAAAGCTGGACCCAGAGAACTGACATGCCCAGGCTAGGAAAGCAGGGAGGAGAGCCTGAAATTTTTTTGGGAATGGGGCTGCCCATGAAACAGACAGCTATGGTGCATAGAAAGGGTCTTAGAAGAAAAGGACAATTTTCTAGGGAGAGAAACTGTCAAAAACAACCTTTCTTCTTAAGGAATGGTAATTTACTTAGCTGACTTGAGTCTCAAACCCAAAAGCTGCGGGGTGTTTTGTACATCAGTCTGCAGACACAAGCACCTCAGAGGCGTGTTTCATCAAACTATGCTGTTTTCATGTTACGTAATAAGACCTTTTTGAGGTTTTTTCCTGTATTTTAAACCAAAAAGTCTCTGTGATGTGTTTGAATCTTACGGTGAGTAGTGAAACCTAGTCCCGACAAATTCTCTTTTGCCCAGTGTTCAAGATACCCTGCAGGAGCTCCAAGCAGATCAGTGCTGAGATCCCGAGAGAATGATGGCTCTCAGATGGCTTCTCAAGTGAGGCACACGGGCATCACACGGGCATCAGCCACTGAGCCTGTGTCAGTGTGGCCACCAGGGCTGGGGAAGCCATGTCCCTCAGCCCTGGCAAGGCTGCACCTCCAGTATTGTGTTTGGTTTTGGGCCCCTCACTAGAAACATTGAGGTGCTGGAGCAGGTCCAGAGAAGGGCAACAGAGCTGGTGAGGGGTCTGGAGCACAAGTCTTGTGAGGAGAGGCTGAGGGAGCTGGGGGTGTTCAGCCTGGAGAAGAGGAGGCTGAGGGGAGACCTTCTGGCTCTCTCCAACTCCCTGAAAGGAGGGTGTAGAGAGGCAGGGGTCGGTCTCTTCTCCCAAGTCACAGGCGATGGGACAAGAGGAAACAGCCTCAAGTTGCACCAGGGGAGGTTTAGGATGGAGATTAGGAAAAATTTCTTCACCAAAAGGGTTGTCAGACTTGGGAAGAGGCTGCCCGGGGAAGTGGTTGAATCCCCATCCCTGGGGGTATTGAAGAGGTGGAGATGCAGTGCTGAGGGACGTGGTCTGGTGGTGGGTTTGTCAGCGTTGGGTTAACGGTTGAACATTGATCCACAGTGGTTCTCCAGCTGACAGCACGGCAGAGGTGGGAGGGCAGGGGGCGGCTGATGCCACCACTGCCTCGTGTGATGCAAACCCTATCAGTCTGGGGGAAAACTAACCCCAGATGGAAGTTTTCAGCGGCGTCAGCGAGTGGCACTGTGTGAGCCAGGGCTGACCCAGGGAAGAGACAGGGCTGTGGGCAAGGACCCCGCTCCTTCCACGGCACACACAGGCTTTGGCTCTGCCTGGGGCTGAACCAGACCCTGGCCTCCAGCTGGGGAAAGGGAACCCTCTAGGTGAAGGGAAATCACTCTCCTCCTTATCAAGGAAAAAGGACTCCTATAACTTCTTAGGACTAGCTTACAATGAAAATAAAGGGAAATTATAAATAACAGCCAAGCTTTCAGAAGGGGGCAGAAGGGGGCTGACCTAGGCGGCCTGGGGCTGAACCAGACCCTGGCCTCCAGCTGGGGAAAGGGAACCCTCTAGGTGAAGGGAAATCACTCTCCTCCTTATCAAGGAAAAAAGACTCCTATAACTTCTTAGGACTAGCTTACAATGAAAATAAAGGGAAATAGGGAAATACAGCCAAGCTTTCAGAAGGGGGCAGAAGGGGGCTGACCTAGGCTTTTTGGAGGTTTTTTTGTTTTGTTTAAAGCTGCAGTCCTATAAAATTAAGGAGCTAAAGCGCAGTACACACAACGTATTTTACACCTGTTAAGGCATATGAAACAATCTGGCAAGTCTGGTGATCAACACCAAACCAGGTAAAGTCTTTTTCTGTTTTCCATAAAAATTAATCAAAATAAACTGCATCTGTATGAGAATGTTTTATTAAAAATACATATCTTCTGTTTCCCATAAAAAGAACCAACACTGTAATTAAACACAACTTAAAAAGTCGGACGGGAATTACTAGAAAAAAATAGAGATTCCTGTAATCCCAGAGCACCCAACCTTTGACTGCACGAGCGGCAAATTAAAACCTTCCTGTGCTGAAGACACAGAGCCCCTGTCCCACACCGTGACGTGCCCGGGAGGGAGCAGCTGGTCAGAAGAAGAAGTGCCACCTGCTCCACAGCAGCTCTGCCCAGGCACGGATACAGGTGTTCTTCTCCCCAGATCCCAGGAGACCTGTCACCCCGAGCCCTGCCGAGGCAGGACGGTAACATTGGCACGAGAAATGCTAGGGGGAACTCGGCTCAAAGGTCACAGGCTGGCCACCTCCTCTGTAAGGAAGAAGAAATACAGCACAGCATTTCCAGTTCATTTCACTTAGGATCCAGCAGAAACTCCCACTAACAGCACTGTTGAAGGAAACCCCGCTGTGCTTTGGTGATACGACACGATGCAACGGTCTTATTCGTAAAGATGACCTTCACTGAAACCTGGAATCCACTACTTTTGGATCCCCGCTTCTAGTAACACAGATCCATCTCAGATGTCTGAAGACACAAATTGCAAAGCAACAAGATATCAGCTTAGGCAGCAGCAAATACTGATTGAAAGTTCAGTGCATAAAAATCAAAGTCAGAACACGAAAGAGCTGTCAGAGACATCTGCTATTTAAAGTACACAGACAAAACACTGGCTGCATTTACTCTCAATAGGAAACACTGGTTTGCCAGGCTGCCCTTCTTGCTCTGGAGAGGTTGAAGATTCAGCTCCTTTTATAGTCACAGAGATGTATCCATCATCCCTCCAAAATGATCAAAATGCTTCGTAAATTCAGGTTCAAAAACCATACCAGATGCTGAATGAAAACTAACATTTACTGGCCTACTCATAACTTCAGCAAGGCACAAAGAGGAAAAGACACGGGAGTGATGGGGAAACAGCCTGACGTGGAATCACAAACCAGTCAGTGGTCCCTTTGCTTTGAGCTGACAAAGCGCATGGGCTGCATGTGGGCAGCTGGAACAGCAACAGTACTAAGGTTGGACAACCAGAGTAACTGAAAAGCAAAATTCAATTTTAAAGAAAAAAAAAATGGGATTAGAACACATAAGTACATGCAAGCCCATACAAGTCATGATCTGATTAAAAGAAAAACAAAAAAAGATACTTCATCTAACATCATACCTTGTAAGCCTAAGAGGGTATTAAATTCATGTAACTTTAGAGGCCTATCTCTTTAAGTATTCTTTATCATCTACAGTGTTAATTCGTTAGGCTGTTAAGGAATTAACAGCCTCTGCAGGCTGCTGAAGCAGTCTGCCTAAAACGCCTCTCGCTGTACTGATCAGGCTGGGAATTTAGGACAGAGCTCAGCTTCTCCCAAAGGAGGCTGAAGTCCGAGCCCACTCAAGTCCAAGGCTTCCCAGCAAACCCCAAATGATTCCTCTTAATATACACTTACTGCAAGAGTGCAATAGAACAAGATTTGCCCAGCACAGCATCTGCTCCTATTTCTAATGCAAAGAAAAGGAAACAAACTGATTTTCAGGAGCTTGGAGGAGTTTGCAGAACTAGAATTAAAGGACAAACTCAATTTGATTTTTTAGCAAAGCAAATTTGTTCTGGGATTAATGAATTACAATTATCCACTAAACTCCAGAATGCCACCAATTAAAATAACTTTCCTTACTGGAATGACATCTTAAACACAAGATCTCAATTTGTCAAGACCTGAGCAAGTCAAATACTTAACAGCAACACTCTTCAACTCACTGTTATCAAATTTCCAAGTAATTTCAAAGCCCATATTGAAAAGCTTTGATCCTTAGGGCTGAGCCACTCTGCGTTTTAGAAAGAAAAAAAAATATTTAAAGACATCCCACGTTGGAAATTTATAATCCCTTCTCATCCTTATAAAGCTACAAGGTGAAGCTCTCAAGTTATTCAAAACCTTGTCTTACAGAAAATAGGAAAGGGAAACTTTCTCCAGCTGTGAGGTGGCAGCACAGGAAATAACTGGATTTTAAAATAGCTCAAGTTGAAAGGTGTTGAAGAATAAGGCGGAAAAGGTTAAGTCTTAATCAGTAATTAAATAAGTTACAGCATTAAAAGTCCAACAACCAAAAAAAGATCAACTCTGGAAAATACACAAGTTCACAGTTACTTGTATATACATTAAAAAAACCCCAAACAATCTAGATTTTAAAATCTCTCCGCAGGGTTATAATCCCCTTACTAGAGAGGTGTTGTTATAGTCTGTGTACAGTGTTCCAAAAGAGTCTTTCATAGCCTTCGGAATTCTTCATGGTTTTCTTAATCCATTTTGTAGCAAGTGACATTTCTCTCCAGAACTGAATAGTGATTTAAAGCCTACTTGAAAATCCGTCTTTAAGAGGCATTCAAATAAAATATTCGAGCTCCTAAACAGAATTTTTAAATACAAGTGTTTTTTTTTTTTATCACAAAATAATCTAGTGAATTTACTGACATGAAAAAAAGACCAGAAATAAAATTCACGAAAGTTTCTAGCCCCCAGTAAGTCACAAAATGCTATTACAGTACAGAAGAACATTATTAGTTAAATCAGGTTTTCTTCCTCTGATAGCTACTTTGAAAATATAGGGTAATTTGAGCCTAATGCTATTGCAGTTCATAATCAGGTAGCTTTTTGTGTGCAGTGGAAAACAAAGAACAGTGGTACAGAACTGAATTAGTCTGCCAAATACCCCTCCCAGACATCACATCTTAAAACACGTGTGTCTAGATGAATGAGAAACTCGAGGAAACCCCTGCACCCAGTCCCACTGCCTGCATTTGGATAATGCATGGGTGCTAGGCTCCACCTATGTAGCTCTTTCAGAACCTAATAATAGCTTATCAAAGTAGCAAAGAGTTTCAAACCTGCTTTAATCTCAGTTCGTGGAAGGACGAATGAATACTACTGTTAGTGTACTGTCCCAGCATTAGCAGCAAGTTTGTCTGTAGTGAGTTCAAAGTTAAAAAAAAAAAATAAAATAAGTTGGTCAGAAAGTAACACACGAGAACAGCAATGGACTTGCTGAACTCAGGTCTCCATTCCTTTCACCCTGGAAAACTTGACCTAAAAAATGATGCTGCTCGGTGCAAGGCGGCAGAGAGAGCCAAGCCGCGACTCCCACGGCTCAAACGAGCACAAGACCTTGGCTTCCAAGAGCGTGTTCTTAGGATGCGTGTGTCACAACAGGAATGTCAATCTCTAGGGCAGAGAGGCGAGAGCGTGCAGAGTACGGCTGCGAGGCATAGCTGTGCATGCTAGGGGCATGGGTGTAGAGGGGCTGCCAGAAAGGAGAAGGCAGGCTTTTGCACGCGCAGTACCACAGACACAGCAGAACAGACGTGAAAAACAAACCGCCGGCGCTGGCGATGGCAATGAATACAGAGATGTCAAAGCTAAAGACAGGCTCGTACTTTCTGTTCAGGTAATTGTTATAAAAAATGACCCAGATGGACGGAGTGAGACAAATGGCACAGGCAAGCAGGAACAAGAGGCCAGCCACGAGATGGCAGCCCGCACTGTTCACCAGGCATTTGGCCAACTTGATGTTTGGCACGGTGGATACGAAGGCCGTGTTACACATGCCAATCAAGCAGAGGAACAGAGCAGAGACAGCAGTTAACATACTCAGTGGAAGGGCAAACTGGAGAACGCGCAAATCCAGCTGATCGACAGCAGTGTACCACTGCGGGTCATAGATCACACAGTCCCTGCTCCCATCAAAGCGAGCACACTTAATCCACAGTCCCGTGTACACAGTCACATTCCTCTCGTTCTTGTTGAACGTGTACAGTCTCATTTGCCTCCAGTTGGGAAGCAGAACTGCTGCAAGGAGTCCAGCTACTGAGGCTGTGCCACTGAGGAAGGCCAGTACTGTTGCTGCATGAACATCCCGGCAGCCCATTCTTGCCCACCGAAGTAGTTTCCTATAATTAAAAAGAAAAATTTTAAAAAATAAAAGTCACTGGGTGAAAGTTCATGGACATAGGACCAACTATAGTTGACTTGTGCCAGGTTAATAATCTGGTCTGGTAGCTGGTAGACAGTAACTCTCTGGCACCTTCTTTGCCTTACACACTTAGGTGGAGGCAACGCTACCGAGTTCACACTTTAATGAAACCTCAGATTATTACAGACTGTTATGATTGCTCAGCTGACAGAGTGCTAAATTCACTGTGCTGAAGACGGAAAAAGAGCACTTTAACACACAGCTTTTCACCTTGTGTCACTGCACAGACTTTGGCAGAGCACGAGTGGAGAAGGTGCCTCAGTGAGCGGGTGTGATTTCAGAAGTTCCCCTTGCCTCAATGGGAAGGTCTCTTTCTTTAGCCCAGACGTCACAATCAGAGAGTGTGTTCAGTCCTACCACACTGCTGCCTGCCTAAAAGGAGCTGCTCAAAACCAGCATCATTAGACTGGACAAGGAAAGCACAAAGAGGCAGTTATCCCCATTTCACATACGCCAAGTTGTTGATGAGAGCTGCGAGCTAGTAGGGAATGTGCATGCCTTTGAGTAATTTACTATGATTTTTTTCAAAAGCGATTAACAGTTTTTCCATACTACTTCCGCCTTTCAAAACCAGCTGTCCAAGCACATGAACAATTCCAGAAAACAGGGCTTTTCAGCTTTCCCATTTCCTTCTTCAAAGGACGAGTTAAAGACTACTACTTCCTTTTCAGTTCAACCACTGTCTGTGTACCTAACACAGCCTCTTGCCTGCAGGTATCCTAGGAAAGTCTGAATGATGAGTCTTGAAAAAAAATAAAATTTCCAAAACAAAAAAAGACTCATTAATTTGAGCAATCCCATCTCTGGACGCTTGATATACTTTAAAGAGGCCTAATGTGTAATAGGCACTGAGCATCCACCCCAGAGTGTACTTGAAGCAGAACACTAAAAATTATAGTACCTAAAAATCAGCAGATACTTTGAAAATTCTCACTGAGAGCCATTAAGTCATAAACTCATAGTGAAATTTCTTCCATTGTGCTTATTTCTCTAAAGTCACAAAACAATTCTTTAGGTAGCAGAAGTTCTACTGCCAATCACACTCTTTTGAAGAAGAAATGCTGGAAAGAAATAATGATGACATTTATGCTAAGAATGCGCCTTATTCATCCAAAAGATGGCATTATATTTTCACTAAGAATATCTGAGTGTAGGCATGCTACTGTTCTCATGACAGTAACCTTTTCTGACAGCGAGGGTCATTAATAGAATACTCCCAAGGTAGGGGGACTCAAAACTTATTTCCACCATAACTGATTTTATATTATGCTTAACCCCAGCTTCCGTAAGGTTCAGTGTGCTCCTCCCCCCGGGCTCCTGCTCCAGCCATAACCCTCAGTGGGAGCTGTGATGAGCTGCACCTTTGGGGGACGGCTGGCAACACAGCCAAACAGCCTGTAGTGGGGACCTAGATATTTTGTTCCCATGAGAATATGACTATAGGTCAATTATCTTACTCTATGAATAGTGGACAGCCCAAGAGCCCTTTGAGCTCTCCTGCATGGCAGCAGCTCAATGATCTCAAAGGTCCCTTCCAACCATGAATATTCTGTGGCTGCACGCCAGGATCTCCCCTGGAGTAGGGACACTCGCTTAAGGTGACGTTACTCCTTGAGGTTTAGAGATTCCTTGCCACAACAGATTCTCAGTAAGTGGTTAATAGCATGCTGAACTTCCAAATCTTAGCTAAGTGACACAAAGGATGGATTGTGCATATATAATCCTTTAGACATAAACCGCTGGCCAAGTCTGGGACTGGGATTGGATCCAGCCGCACCCAGACTCCTCTCTGAGAAGGGGTTTAGGAAGCCGAGGGGTCCTTTCTGAACCTCCTGACTCCCTGACAGCTTCTCTCACCCTGTCCTCTCTGCAGTAAATAACCAAGCGTACCTTGCCATCAAATGTCACAAAACACTATCACACTCACTACTAACTTCATTAAATCACTGTTTTATATTAATAAATATTTAACTACTTCTCTCTTATGAGTGAAGTTAATCACTATGCCTGTGACAAAGATCAACACAATCAACTTGGAAGGAAACAGAACTATAACAAATAGGCTTAGATCTAATATAGCATCAAATTTTGTTCTCCTCAAGCTCGATACGTTTCCATAAAGAGTTTGCCTTTGGCGGGATAAAACTTCCATGCAGGCAGGGAATGCTCTCAGATAGAGCTCTGCCAAAAGCAGCTGGAATAAGCACAAGACTAATCATTTTCAGAAACCCACTGTTTCTGCAAAGTAATTTTCAATAGTAGATGATGAAAACCTGGGCAGAGTGGGCAAAAAGTGATGTGAGGTTCACCCACATTTTGTAATACAGGAGGGTGAAGAAAACACCTGTGCTATATCAAAGTAGAGCTATGACAAGGACTATGCAGCCAAGACTTGGGACAGCATGGGAAGATTTGTATTTTTCTATTACCTCTGCTGTACCATTCACATGGACACAAGACTTTAGTCTCTAGTTCATCCTGTGGTTGCCAGGTGTGTTTAGGCCACCCTGTACACCTTGTTTTTGCCGACCATTCCTGGTAGATTCACTAAAGGCATTTTTTTGATTGGGTTTTTTTGTTGTTTTTTGGGTGTTGATTGGTTTGGGGTTGTTTTGTTTCTTTCTTATGGCTGGTGATAGGATTTGGTTTTGGGGGCTGAGGTGACTGTTGTTCGTTTGCTTTTTTTTTTTTTTTTAAATAAAAATTCTTGGTGCTTCTCTTGAGGTAGAAAGACACACAAAATAGCTCATTTTCCCATGACAGGCTATCAAGGAAAAGTGAATTTGTAGCTAAGACATCTATGATCCCCCCATCAGGGGAAACTTGTCCCATCTTGTAAATACTGCTAGCTTTACAGCTGTACTTACAGCTTACAGATCAATTACAGATCCCTGATCAAGACAGTAACAAAATAGATGTTGTCTTAATTAAGACATGTACTTACCACCTGTGTGTCCAAATCAAGAGAAACCGTAGTAACTTTTAGAAGTAGGAAGAAAGGTGTTACTGGATCTAGGAAACAGAACGAGGAGAGAGTCAACAGCACATTTGTTTCGTGCAATTCCAGCAACAGTGTTTACGCTGTAATTCAGAAATAAGGCATCTCAGATATGCTTACATCAGGCCAATTTCATCACCTTTCTACAATTTCCTCTTATTTAAAAAACAAAACTCAAACTATTTTTTTGTTCCCCCAGAATTTTTCCCCAGAACACGTTCTCTTTCTATCTACCATCTACTATCTCTGTCTTCATGAAGCAGATAAGGGTGCAAAAACCTCGCTTTTGTATGAGTGGTCCAACACACAGAGATGTTCACACCCTCAATTTATGCGTCTAGCAAAAAAATTCATATAAAGTCATAGAAAATTATTATTTAACGTTAGGATCCAGGCTGCACTTAAACAGCAGGGAGGAAGGGGTGCAATGATTTTTTTATGTCAGAGAACAAAACAGAGACTCTAAACTGTTTCTATACTTGCTGTTCTCTATTTCTTCCTGACTTCTACACAAAGGCCTGAAGGAAAAGAAAGACAGGAAGTACTGGTGATGCCTTCTCAATGGCTGTCCAGCTTTTCCAGAGGAAGAGAAAGGATCTTCTTGTGGATTGTCTTTACACCCACATCTGGGATCCACACAAATTCTGCTCCCAAGAGCAGCTCTGCAGCTCATAACAGGAAAATCACTTTTCTACTGGACAGTGTCAGACCTACAAGCATCTCATTATGAGATTGTTATGAGCTACAACCTAAAGGTGAGTTTGCTGTAGTAACACGTACAAAGACACAGAGTTTATTCTAAGTGACCTATAGCAAAACCTGAAATACTATGACAACATTTACATATGCACAGTCTCCTGGGGGCAACATCAAAGACATTCTTCTATCAAGCCATCTAGGCAAGAGAGAGACCTTACAGAACACACTCATGGAACTCAAATTTTTCACTAAATAAGAAAACAAATTTCCAAGTCTGGAGTCCTTGAATATGAATGCTATTGCATACAATTGCACGGGAATGCAGAGGCAATCAAATCAAGCATCCCACTGGATTTCCACTGCCAGATTAACCAACCAACATCACCATGAGTAAATGCAGCAATTTGGGCAAAATAACTAGGCAGGGCTGCAGAGATCAGTGTCAACATACTCAACTGCATTTGGAGGAGAAGCAGCGGCCCATTTTTGAGTGTGGAACTCAAAAAAACCCCATATGACTGCACAGCTCAGAGCAGCTGTTTTTACTCACCGACACTTCTGAGCAATTTTCAAGCTTTCTGTGCATTTAGCAGCAACCCAAGCTCAAGTAAACACGCAGATGTCCCTCTGCAAGGTCACACCCTAGTGTGTCACACCAGCCAGTACTCACTAACAAACATAATTAAATAGAAAAACAGTACTGGCAAACAAAGCTGTTAGAAAGGGAGCTGTGCCCAGCCCAAAAGTTACTCCCATTAAACGATGAAAACACGGCCACCAGCTGTCGTAATAAACAGATACAGAGGCAGTACTGAATATTCAACAATATCCAACTCAGAAAGACCTCCATTTCTGCAGACACAGAGCTTCTTCTCTCTTCCTCTAGCTGTTTAGTCCATCTGATGTTACTCTCTGTAACTGCTGATGCTGAATAACTAGGGACCCTAGCCACTTCTGAACTGGCTGTCCAAGGGAAGAAAGCACACTTTGGCCAGCACAGGTGAAACCTTCCCTTGCCTTTGATAATAGACTCAAGCTTCTTACATCCTAAGCATTTTATAGCTGTAATACTCAAGACTCTTGTATCTGATCCACAAGTTACCCATCCTAATACCACTTCAGGGACAGATTTTACCACAGCTCCTATTCTAAAGATCCACGTTGCTGTAACAAGAGACACTGGCTGAAATAGTTAAAATCTGGTAAATCATTAACTGCCCACAAGCTAAAAAAAGCAGCAAATTACAAAAAATAAAAAATAAAAAAGGCGTTTACTAGAGACAATTCAGTGATGTGTAAAGCCAGTTCTGTCCCCTTGCATGGCCTTGAGGAGACCATAGTCCGGGAACCACCGCGGCTCCGTAACGCCCTGCAGGAGGGAGTGCACAGTAAGCACAATTTATAAACAAATGCATTCTGAGGCTATCCACAATAGTGTCAGCAGTTTAAAAGAATATTACAAGTTTTGGAGAACTGGCCGCCGGAGGAGCCCACCACCTGCCCTGTCTGAGGAGAACTGTGCCTGGGACAGGATCCCTGCCACCAGCGTTCTCTGGACAGCAACTACACGGCTCCAACTTCCACAAAACCCCTACTAAACATTAAATCCAGGCGTAAAGGATTAGAACTAGCATTCCTGGCTAATACATTAGGAGTTTCAGGAAAAAAAAATAAAAATGCAGTAGGTGTAATTATTTTACCGACCGATTCGGCAGAGCCAGACGACACCGGGCCGAGGCACACGCTCCCCCCGGCGCAGGCCCGGCCTCCCCGCTGCCGCCTCAGCCCAACGCGGCGGCGCTGCGAGCCCAGACCGATGGGGCAGCGCGGCCAAACCGGGCCGGGCCGCGGACACCACCCCCCACCCGCCCAACCTGCCCGAGCCGGCGGAGCCCCCTCAGCGGTAGCCCCTCACGGCCGGGAGCCGCGTCCCCAACTCCCAGCGCCCCAGGCCCGCTCCCACGGCTCACCCTCCTGTCAGGGCGCGGGGGCGCGCAGCACAGGCACCGCGGGGGCACGCAGCACAGGCACCGCGTCCGCCCCACCACCCCACCTCCGGCTGCCGGAACCCCTCCGCTCCTCTCGGGAGGCTGCGGCCAGCGGCAGGGCGCGCGGAGGGTTGTGGGGTTGTAGTCCGGCGCCGGCGCAGTGCCAGCCCCGAGACCGGCCCGCGCACTACAACTCCCAGCGTCCCTCGCGGCACACCCCAACTACCCCCCCTTCCCCCGCGGGGCCGGGCCGAGCGCTGCGTCGCGCCTGCCAGTAGCGAAGGGAGCCCCGCGGCGGGGATGGCGGTGCCTCCAGTACATCCCTCAGTAGGCGGCAGGACAGGTGGAGGGACCGGCGGGAGCGGCTGGGTGTCGGCCCGGTGATGGCAGGCGGACATTGCTTTGATTGCTTTTGCATATATTTTTTTAAATTCTTCTTTCCTTCGCCTATTAAAGTGGCTTCAGCTGCCGGTCCCCCCAGCCCCTGAGCCGAGTTCAGTGTCCCTCATTATCCGTCCCTCATTATCCCTTCACCCCTGAAGCCCACCTACCCATTCACACATGGCTAAAATAAAGCCAGGATGGCTCTTGTTTCAAACTTCCCCCCACCCCGATTTATGTGTGAGATTAAGACCAGTGTTCAAGAAGTCTGACGAAAAAGATGGTTATTTTCAACTACAAAATAAATGGAGTATCAAAAATTACTGTCTGCCCATACTTAGCTCTGGTGAAATACATTAGCCCCAAACTCAGTAAAATTAGAGGAAAATCAGAACCGATACATCCAGAGGACCCTGGCAGGCTGGAGAGGTGGGCCCTACCAGCCTCACAAAGTTCAGCCAGGCCCAGGGCAAGGTCCTGCACACAGGACATGGCAATCCCAGGCACAACTACAGGTTGGGTGGAGAATGGCTGGAGAGCAGCCCTGAGGGGAAGGACTTGGGGGTGTTGGTCAGTGAGAAGCTCAACGTGACAAGGCAGCTCACAGCCCAGAAAGCCCCTCACATCATCAGTTGGGGAGGTCAAGGGGTTCTGGCCTGCTCTCCTGGAGTACTGTGTCCAGCTCGGGAGCCTTCAGCACAAGAAGGACATGGATGTGTTGGAACGGGGCCAGCAGAGGAGCACAAAGATGATCAGAGGCTGGAGCACCTCTCCTGTGAGGACAGGCTGAGAGAGTTGGGGTTGTTCAGCCTGGAGAAGAGAAGGCCTTCCAGTACCTGAAGGGGGCCTACAGGAAAGATGGGAAAGGACCCTTTAACACCAATAAGGTGCTAAGTATAGCGATAGGACAAGAGGTAATGGTTTTAAACTGACAGATGGTAGCTTTAGATTAGATACCAGAAAGGAACTCTTCAGTATGAGGGTGGTGAGGCACTGGAAGAGGTTGTGGGGCTCTGAACAACCGGGTCTGGCGGGAGGTGTCCCTGGCCATGGCAGGGGGGTTGGAACTCGATGATCTTAAGGTCCCTTCCAACTCTAACCATTCTATGATTAAAGAATTGTATTATGAGAAACATACCTTTCTTCTCAGTCACTGTTTTTAACAAGTTTAGAGAAGCAGGTTTGATAAATATACTTACAAACCAAAATAAGGCCAAGTTGAGGAGCCTTTGATGTATTCAGTCTTATTTTGCTTTGCAATCAATTTAATAGCTTTGAAGTAGAAAACACCCCTTACAATAAAGGACTTCGTATCTTTTTTCCAAAGTAAAATGTTAAGTGTGCCTGCTCGTATTACAAAAAAATGGAACATAAACTATTCCCAAAAATGTATAGCTCTGTTGAAAAGCAGTCATCATATACCCACAACTCCATAAAAGGAGGGACTCCCAAATTAAGTCTGGGAATTTGGAGTAAAGATTTGTATCATCAAGAGGACTAAGGTAGGCACCAGCATGCATGAAATAAAAGCAGCCAGTATGCATCAGCCTCGCGTTTTTGTGCTCCTACAAGTCACTTTCTTGCAGCCATTTATTTATGCTTTCCTTGAGATCTTTAAAAATAACAAAACCCCCCAATCTGGTACTTGTCAAAAGAGCAGAACTCGTTCACCTGAGCAGTGCTAGACCCTGGAAAACTGCCCATCAGAAATTCCCCTGTGTACTTCTCATGTCCATGGCAACAGATGTAGAGGGGTTGAGCTTGCTCCTTTGCTACCTCTGTGGGTTATATTCCTTCCATTCATCTCGTTTGGTACAAAGTATTCCAGGGATCAGCAGTTGTTAAGCAGTGCTCTGAGTTGCACACAGTTTGGTCTTTACTCTGTTGAGTTGGTAGCCAACGTTTATCAGACAAACCCGTTCTTTTCCCCACTGTGTTCTACCCAAGAGCCAAAAGGAATTGAGACAATGGCGGGAAGCAGAGAACAGGGCAGTGGTGGTAGAGGGAACAAAAATTAAATGGGAGGTCTGTGTAGCAATACTGGATCTGGCCAAGAACGCTAATTTCTATTCATTTGTTCTTCTGAAGTTTGTAAAAGCAGTAATTTCTTTCTTCGATATTCTTCATTCTCCTGCTCTGCTTCTTCATCTATGCATTTTCTTATACATGCTTTTAGTTCCTCAATTCCTTCTCCGGTATATGTAGATACAGGAATTATATCTTTGAATTCAAATGTACTTGCAGGAATCATTTCTTCTTGTAGTAAGTGTAAGAAGTCTGAAAAATCATATTGAAAGAGTTAGTACAATCCCCAAATAGTGTATCATTACTAGGCCCATAAAATCCCATTAAATTTAGAAAATAAACTTTAATAAATTACAGTAATAAACATAACTGCAATTAATATAGAAGTATTATTTACTTAATCTTTAAAAAAAATAGCTAAAGTCTCAGAAGACAAGCACTAAGATAGCAGTTATACCATACTTACACACTCATGAGAAGATTCTATACCCTTCCTTTAAGATGAGTACAAAGAAATCCCAAGTTTAGAACATGGGAGATGGTTTTAAGCCTTCCTGGGTCTTTATGCACCCCAATAAATAGGAAGAAATTCACCCCTAATAGCAAAACTGAAGTAAATCCCTACATAGGCCTGCCTGGAATTTTAATGTGTTTTGGCTGAAGTCACATGATAAATTGTATATACGTGTGTCTGTAAGGGAACCTGCAACCGAGGTTACTGTTATCCCAGATACTGAGACTGGAAATCTACTCTCCCACATCATAGCTGGAAAAGATCTTCTAGGATATCTATATTTTATTAAAATACCTCTCCAACAGTGAAGTCAGCACTACAGATGTACATAAACAGAGCTCTAAAGGCAGGAAGTGCTTTTAAAACATAGTAAATTTAATAGCTGACCTCACTTCAGTTTCAAACAACTCCTTGCCAATGCAGAGTTACTCTTGATGAAATCCTATTACTACTTTTGTTGAAGGTTATTGTTTGAAGTTAATTTACCTTGAGGATTCTGTAGTTGTTTCATAAGTTCATTCAAGTTATCCTTTGCACAAGGCAAATCCATTTTATTAATGGCAAGAAGGGCAGGCTTTGTAAGAAGTTCCTCTTTGTACAGCTCCAGTTCCTTAAAAGACAAGTAAATTTGCCTTAATAAGTATTTGTAGTTTAACAAGTGCTACTTCAATTTTACATCTCCTCTCCCATTTGTTTAATTGCCTAAATAGTCTTTCTTGCTTAGGCAGCTGTGATATTTACTCAGGTGCTCAAGGTTGATGTATTAAAGCAGTCTGACAGAAGAAAATAACTTTCAGTGATTTTTTTTTAACTCCAACACAGATGTTTTGGGTAAACAGGCTGGTCAATTCTGAAACAGCCTCCTATTAAATGAACGACCATTTTGTTTTTCTCATATATACAAACACAAAATCAATTTCAGGAAAAGTTCAGATCTGTAAAACATATAAGCAAATTCTTGGAGAGTCTTCTGATTCTTAAGCATTTTAATGGACTACGGTTAATATCAGAAATGGAATCACAACCATGAATCAGCTAAAATGAAACAGTAATAGCTGAAATTCAGAAAATTCATCATTTTAAGTCATATAGGTGGAGAGAAAACAGCAGCTAAATTTGAAATTATGTAAAAGGTATTATTTTAATCAGAAGCAATAGCAAACACTGACTGTCTGCAAAGCTGGGGCCTGATGTCTCATCTCCGTTAGGCTATGTAGTAAGGGCATCAAGGCAAGGATTTAACTATACCCATGTATTTCTAATTCCTAAAACACTACCAGACTGAGGAACTGAATATCATGTGTCTTTTCACCTTTGTTGGACTGTATGAAACATCCCATATGCTACACAGATTAACACAGGAACAGTTGTGCCCAACATAAAATAGAGCAGTTTCACCTGGACAGATGAAAATAAGATTTCATCGTTTTAGAGAACACTAAGCTTGTTAACTGGCCTTATATTATAAATCTAGAAAACACACTAACATTTGAAAATTCTTGATCAAAAGTGAGCCTCTTTCTTGGCTCAACACCTAACTACAACTGTCAATTAGGAAGATGAGAACCTACCTTTGTTAGAAGCAAGATAGTTTCAAAGGCTGTTCTGAACTGAGTCTTAATAGACAACTGAAACCCAGAAATATCAACCTGAAAAAGTTACATGAAAACAAGCTTTATGGTATTAAATTATGTTACAGTATCAAGGTACTCTCCATCAACTACTTTGCAGTAAAATGTCCATGTATGTGCCCTCATTCCTGGGGAAGTAACAGAGGGCAACTCTACACCAAAGTAACACCATAGACACTGGAAGCACAAACTGGTTGGTTCTGATACCGTGTTTCTCAAAGGTCTGATTTTGAAACCTTTTTTAAGGGGATCTTACAGGAAAAAGAAGGAAAAAAAATCATCCCATGCTTTAATTATGCTTGGAACACTTCACTACTCTAAATTAATTTGCAAATGTTAATGATAAAGGATTTAATTTATCATCACTCATTTGAGCATTCCATTCTGACAACAGTATTACAGCTATATTTATCACTAAACATGCAAATTAAAAATTATTTCCTAAATTCCAACTACACTGCCATTAAGATGCATTTTATTTACTGCACTGCCTTTTAAATAAAATTTACAGTTTATTGAAATAACTTACAACTAAGAGAAGCTGTTTGGTTCTCTCTACATGTTTGAGAAATTTGTGGCCCCTCCCTTTGTTTGCATGTGCACCTTCGATCAGTCCTGGGAGATCAGCTACTGAAATCTAGGAAAACAAAAGTTTCAAACAAAAGATTTGCAACAAGCTAAAATGGTGACTTTAAACTATCAACACCTATTATCATTTTATATAGACAAAAGAACTCAAAGGAATGTCCAGAATATCTATTTTCAGAGACTCCATTTACATTGCGTATGTAATACTTTTCACAGAGCTCATAAAGAAACTCATATTCTCTCAAAAGAGCACTTGGTTCAGATATTTTGGTAGAAAAAGTAAATGCCTGTGTTAGTTTCCATGATCTGGTATTAAGACCTGATGCCAGACTCATACTCAGATCCTCTACTTCTGTGTCCTTTTTATTGTAAGTAGTAATGACAGACAGCACACGTGACAGACTCACATGTATTTTCTTCTTTATAGTGTACTACGATAAAACAAGCAAATTGCCACATATTTCCTTAAAAACATCAATGTTCCATAGGGGGAAAAAAAATAAATACAATAACCTAATCCCCCTTGAATGATACAGAACAGTCACCTCAATTACTGCTCTTAATTGCTTACGTTGTTTTGTTTTCAGCAGTGGCAATACTGAGAACTGAAGCACTCCCTGTTGCTCACAGATGTTCCCTGTGTTCACAATCACTAGTTCCCTTGATTTTAGACAAAGAGATATTTTGTCTATATAGTTCCTATACAGCACCCAACATATAAAAACATAGCATAAAAACCATCAACTGCAGAAACAGCCCACAAGAAGGGTCATTGGCTATGACATGAAACAGGCTGCAGAACAGAAAGCCAGGAGTGCAAGCAGTTCTCCTGCTGGAGACAGATACACCACTAAGAATACGAGGTCCTGATTCATGGCAAGCAGGTAGTTTCTTTAAAGGCTATAACTAATCCTGTTATTTGCAACACAATTTTCTAGGATAAGTTGCCCTAAACTAGCAGATAAAATGAATATACAAAAATCTTCCCTTAGATGTGTGCATTTGTCAGGGAACCTGACAAATTAGACGTACTTCCTTTAATATACAGTTTTGTTAAAACTTGTTAAATTAAAGTTTCAAGCATCAGCCACTGAATCCTCCTAAGATTATTGCTTCTGAAAGTGAAAAGAGAAGTCTTCTGTGTTTTCACATCTGAGAGGTATGCCTTTCTGTTTAACGCATCTGAAACCCTTTTAGCGTTTGCCTTTCATCTTGGAAGTAATGAGTCCAGTACTGCATGTATCATACACTTAAAAAACAAAATGAAAGCACATAAAAGAAGATTCAAGCTTGAGGAATCAATATGTTTGCTGTAACCTTACATGAACTTGAGGACCAAAATCTATTACCAAGAGTCTCATTTAGTGTTTTTTCCCCCCTGTGGATACCGTAAGATGGATTCCAGGTGCCACACAGTATCTGTCTGACTTTACCTGAAGAAGCCTGGGGGAGTTTGGTTCACAAAAAATAAGGTGGTAGGGCTCTACCAGGTCTCCAGAGCTACAGCCTACTACAGAAGGAACTGGAGCCAGGTACCACACCTCTCAGGTAGTGCACTAACCTGGCTGCTTAGGCAATCCTTATCACTTCATACTACTTTAGTTTTTTATTAAAAAACAAAACAAAACCAAAATCCAAACAGAAACCAAACCACAAAAGGAAGTCAGAGCAGCCCACCTAGAGAGCCAGAACAGTAAGTTACGGTAACTGGGTTATGTTCACTAAATTCCCTGTCATTTACTACTGCAGATCTGCAGCTATTGGACAAATATGCCCTTATTTACAATCCATTCTGAAAATGACTCATTCATTCCAGAGCTCTCTATATAGTGAGCTTACAGAAAATTTGCCTTTTCTAAATAAAAATAACAGGTTGGTCTCTGAAACAATTATTTTTTTATAATCCTAAACTTAACAAGAGTATGGTAGGACACAGTAAACTCAATTCCGCCCACAAGCTCACAGCTCTGAGATGATAAAGCAGGATTAGAACCACAGAGAGGAGTCAAGGGAAAATGAGAAGCCACCTATTACGGTGACTTGAAATCAGTTCAGCAACATATTACTGCATTTAGCTACAAAGCTCTCTTATTTCTTTATAAAAATAGTACTTTCTCCGCAACTTTCATTAAGTCCATGTAATTGCATTTTATATATGTACATTATAGATACACTTATGAAAAACCTACAAGTTTCGCTTTTCTTTCTGAAATTACGTTAAGCAACATAAGTAACCATCCTATACAACGAAAATGAGTTTTCATACCAACCTGCTTATAATCTGCATACATGATCTTTCCTAGTTCAGGCTGTACTGTTGTAACTACAAGGGAAAAAAGAGAAGGGGAAAAACCAAAAATTTTTAACATGTAAAAAAATGTTAATATTACAAAACATTTAAATGTTGCTTTCTCACTTCATATTTAAATGAAACAAATGTTCACTAGCAGAAAAAAATAAGGCAAATGGTATGCTAAGAATTACTGGAAAACGAATATAGGAAAAGCAAAACAAGAGACAAGAAAATTAGACCACTCAAAAAAATCAGTTGTTCACCAAATCTTGGCACTGTCTGCAGGTCTGTTCCCATCAACCTAAAAAGAGAACAGAGGGGCTAGAGAAGCCTCAGACACAAAAAGGATTATTCAGACTATGGACTAACTTCCAAATAAAGAAAAACAAGGAAAGGCAAAGTGAGATAGGACTCTTCAAATTAAGAAAAAATATAAAAAGGCTGTAGAGAATCAAGCGTGGTGCAAGAAGGTCATTAGTAGTAGGAATTATCAGTACTTGTACTCTTACTTTTTAATTAAAGAATGATCAGATGACTAAACCTAATTTACTCACAGAAAAATAATAAAAATGGCATTTTTCAGTGGACAGATTCAAAATCAAAATCTCAAAATCTTACTCTGTTGCAAGAACAGGTGGTATCTATTTTCAAAGCATACAAGATGTTTGTGCAAAGGAACCTGATGGTGCATATTCGGTACACTGAGGGTATGACATACCATGGAGAGTCCCAGATGAAATAAAATGGGCTGAGACTGCAATTAATATTAAATAGACCCTGCATAAACAGGTTGAAGCACCATGAGGGTGTACACATGAAAAACTGATGTGCTTAAAGGAACTGGACACTGAAACAGCAAGTTCTCTCTTTGAAGTATTTCTTAGAAGTAAAAATTTGAGTAATGTATTTAGCAGGCAACATGGTTATCCGCTATTATTTATTATAAACCTGCAAACCAAGTCAAAGAAAAGACTTCTTGCTCTCATGAAATTATTACTGCTCTAAAAATAAGAATATGAACTTACATGCGTAATTTGCAATCTCAGGTTTGGCATGAGAAATCTTGCTTAACAAGGATGATTTTCCCGCATTTGGAAACCTAAAAGGAAAGTCAGGATTTATACACTGAATAAACACGTGTGATTCCTGTATATTTTATTACCGAATTACCTTAGTCAAACTCAGTGTTACCAACAATAATTTTTGCAGACTTATTTACTCACTTTTTTTTAAAAAAAAATACCCAAACAGCCAACAAACCCTACATCATTATGATTTCTTTTAATCAAATCTGAATAATTTTCCTAAATGCAACAGTGCTTCCCAAGGACGCAGGCAGGAGAGGTATGTAAATACAGATGTAGTAGATTTAAGGCAAATCTTTCAAAGTCACATGGATGGACTGCAGCATAAGCATCCAGGTCTACCTGAATGCCGTCTTCACACGCTAAAACTAATTCTGTAAACTATGTCCACATTCTAAACACCTCTCATGCAAATGCATCTTCTCAGTTCGATTTACAGTCTTTTGGTATACAAGTCATGGTTAATGAAACATTCTACAATTTAATTCCCAATGATACCTATGCTACAGTCTAGCTCAAGTAGCAAAGCATATGTAAACTCTGTAAGTGCATCTATATGGGGAAGATGGGGGAAGAGTGTGAGAGACACTTTCCGTATACAGACACACACAGGCAGAGTTTGTGTATGTTTTTATGGCAACAAGGATGTTTGAGGAATCCTGAAATTAGGACTAACCTGCTTTGTTATCAAATAAACCAAAAGAATACCAGTAAAGCCCTAGAAGCTGGTCTGTGCAGACGTGACTGTTATAACCTTTTCCCTCTAGCTATACTTGTGTACTACAACAAAAATGTTCCTCAAGGGATATGGCAGCTTTTAGAAAAGCTTCTTCACAGAATACACCTACTCATTGAAATGGAAAACTAAGTTAAAACCGAAATTATAACACATGCTTATTTTAAAAATTAACCTGAACTGTAGAAGACGCAATAGCCTTGATCTATGTCAAACCTGAAGCTAACGCTGACAGCAGAAGACAGAATATAGTCCTTATTTATAGCACCTGCTCCATACAGGAGACCACAGAAGACTTGTGTTCCAGTCAAAGTCACAGACAGTTATTCAGCACAACAGTGCAACAGTTTCAGTGCAACAGTGATCAAAGAAAACAGTGTCTACAGGCAACTGATCATTGGTCACAAGATACAAAGACATGCATCACGCAGAAAGCCATATACTCTGCACATGGATACACGCAGAATCACGACCTGTTAACAGGGACAACTCAGAAGAACATCCACTATGGAAAAACAAGAGTAGTATTACATGAAGGGGCTTTATAAAGGGTTGTATATGGGGCTTTCTTCAAAAAGAAAGAGACATAATGACTCTTGTTGTAACAGTAGAACTATCGAGCGTAGTTTTAATGCGCTCTGATGTTGAGAGCTGCCTTAAAGACATTCCGGAAGGTTACTCTGCTCATCTCCTCAAGTGAGTATCTTGTTTCCACCGAGGTACAATACGCTCTTTGAAGTTTAAATAGCAACCTACACAATACATCACAACCTGTACCCAAACCTGATGGGCCTTTCTCAAGTCTCTGTTTTTTACCTGATCTAATAGCAAAACCACTTGCAAATCTACTGAAGTAAAAATAACAAACACAAAGAGATCAAAGTACAACCACAAACTATCAGAGGCTGATTCATGCTCCCAACAAGAAAATAATATGCTCCTCTAATAAATTGATAATGACTCTTTTAATCCATTTTAAAGGGAAACTGTCAGCCAAAATGCAAAATTAAAGCAGCACCACTGTCATAAACCTCCTGTATTTTCACACACGCTCAAACAAAAAATTCTCTATTGTGTAATTATTGAAGACCACTTGAAAATAATATGCGTCAGATAAATCTGATATTAACAGAATTATTTCTAATAAGCAAAAAAAGAAAAATGTAGGTAGAAAACCATGCTGTCTTCAAGTTTCCGTTCTTTAACAGTATAAACCAATTAGACTATTTCCACCTCAAACTCACTGTCAGTTTATGTTTCCTATGCTTTTTTTATTAATAAGGACCACAGGGCGGGGAGGGGGGAGTAACAGATGCCGAGTATACTAATACTTTTACAATTGTAGTTTGTTGAAGTCTTTCTCCAAATAGAAATATACTTATCTGCATTGTTATAAAGCAGCAACATTGAAGAAATCCAAGTACTACTGTTTTGGTTTGTAATTACCTCCTTTCAACATTCCAAGCTGTTTATTTGGGAGAGTAGGTTATGTACCATTTGAAACTCTCTTTAAAACTGCTGTTGAAAGTATCCACTTGTACCAGTACCATAAAGGTGAAGATGCAATAGAGACAGTGTTCTTGGCCCTGTTTCGCACCTCCTACTTAATTCATAAATATTAGCTAATAGTATTTTGATAATCACTGCAATTGCAAAATATATTCATAATTATATATTACTCCCACTCATGAAGCCCTTCACCCATAAAATCATAACCAATACCTTCCAAATTTTAAAATTAATTTTAATGGGTTTAAACTCTATCTGATTTTTACAAACCACAAGTAATTTAAGTGGCAACGCAAATGTATAGTAACACTCATGCTCTAAACACTCAAGTTTCTTTGGTATCCCATTTGAAATTTACTACTTTGTTTTCTAATACCAGTTCTCAAACAAGAGTACTTACCCAACTAAGCCAACATCTGCTATAAGTTTCAAATCAAGATGAACAATTCGCCTCTGACCTTTGCAAGGCAAGAAGTTTGTGACCAAAGAACCTCCAAGACCTCCACGAGCTGCTAGGAATCTCTCTCCTGCTGCATTAAGCTCTCCTGAAAATAAATACAGTAGTGAAAAAGGTCAATCAGTTGTGATTTTCCACTTGAATCTATCTTCAATGAAGAGAAAATTTTCTGTATGTTTCCTTGCAAGAGCTATGCACTCAGGATCATGGTATTTTTCCTTCTTCAGAAACAAATGAAAGCAATCCCACTCCAGTGTTCTGCTCTGTCATATAGTTACTCACTTCAAGAAAAGTGCTTACTACAGGCAGGCAAAGTAGTCTCCAATTCTTCAACTCAAGAATGCAAGGAAAAATCTGCATTGACAGAGATGTAGCTACAGCAAACTCTTCAGGTGTTCCCTATTTTTTCATTAAGATGCAGGCTGTTATAACTCCCTTAGGGTTAGACTAATTAAAAAAAAAAAAAAAAGGCAACATTTGAATATATAATTCAGGGATAGCTTTAGACACTGATGTGCCTACATCATAAACAGTTCTTGTCATATATCCAATTTTGTTAAATATCCAAATCAGAGTAATTTGTGAATTTAGTTTGAACAGCATCAGAAAAAAACTTCTGAGTAATTGCAAAGGAACCATTGAGAGCCATTCCAAGAGCACCGTATTGAAAGAGATCTTCCTGGTTACTACCAAGTACCCCTCTTCAGAAAAAACAGTAAAAACCAGGTAAGTATTTCAGATAACTTGAAATATTGACATTTGGCAAGGATCTTTGTCTTTTAAGCAATGTCCTAATTCAGTAAAGTTACAGGGAGTTTATGGACACACAATTTATGTAAGGTCATTAATGATTCTGTGGAGGATCATTATGGTTTTTGGCCTTTAACACTTGTTTGCAAAGCCAATTTTCTTTCTGCTGAATGTAGTGATATAAACTGACTATTGCTAATTTCTGGAAGGGGTCCTTGCTTTTCTAACAATTTCTACAGTGTGTTTTTTGTTACCTCTTAGTCAAAACAAAGGAAAACAAACACATTTTGGGAGATGTGTAATTTTAAAACATTCTAGTGTTAGAAGTCAGCTAGATGCTGTCAATAAATATGACATTATCTATTAGATACATTAAAACAAAGAAGTTCTTACCAATCTGTGTGCCATCATTGCAAAGAACTGAAATTCCCAGAGGCACATGAACTTCACAATCTTTTCCTTTTTCACCTTTTAGAGCTTTAACACTGGGAGAAATTAAACCAGACTTAGTAATTTAAGCTGACATTTTGCTTTCTAGAAAAGATGTATGTAACAACTTTCATTAAGCAGAATCTTACCTGCTGTTGGCTCCTGCTCCAGCTATAAATCGCTTCTGGGGATATCTGTGCTTTATGCTCTTTAAGGTAGTTCTTTCTTGGGCCACGAACCAGACGTCGCCACCTCTCCCTCCTTCCCCACCTAGACGAGGATAACCCATTCCACCAGTTCCTCCTCTCACATAGACCCGTAAATTGTCTATAAAGTTGCCATACTAAAAAAACCAACAAGTTTCATATCAGTATTGACATCAAAAGAACAAAGTTAAAAGTTTATCGCAAAGTTTTGTTTGGGACATGGTTGAGACACCAAGAAATGTACCTAACCTCGAGCAGGATGTGAAACAAAACAACGTGTTTTATGTGTTCTTGTGCAGTTGCTTAGACATAAGACAGTAAAAATGTAACTTCTGGACCAAATTCAAGCCAAGAGCGTCTCCCCAACTAACTGTGGGTAATGCTAATGCTGAAATACACCCTCCTTCATGAATAACGAGCACACTAATCGGGTAACCTCACTAACTGTTTTAAACACGAGTTTAGATGCTTATGCACAGTTAGGAGTGGTGAGGCAGTCATTGTGAACCCATCGGCTGTATTTTGTTGTTCCAAACCCCGGGCGGTTGGAAAGGCCTGCGTGCTGGCTGGCAGCAAACACCCGGCACCGACCCCGCAGAACTGAAATAAAACCCTGTCTCCCGTGTTTTTATGATCAGCACGCTCAGAGCCCATCAGCACACCGAGTGTGCACCGAGCGTGCCCGTGGGCTCTCGCACACTGGGTGAAGAACCCTCATTTAGGGACAGCAGTATTACCTTCTGCTTACGTTTCGTTTTGTAGCCGTTAGAATCAACGTGGCTAAAGCTACTTAGGCAGAATTTTTTCTGATGGCACTCATGACCCTTCGGGACACAGACAGGTAACCCGCCGAGGTGTCTTTAGGAAGAGAAACACCTGACGTTTCTCCCCCGGCCTGCACAGCCCCATGGGCACGGCCGGGGCCCCAAGGGGCGGGGAGCGGGGCCGCCGCCGCCCGCCAGCGCTCCCCGCCGCTCTGGCACTGCCCGCCGGGGCGCTGCACCCGCCCCGGGCTCGTCCCTACCGCTCCCCGGGCCGCCCGCACCCACCTTCCGCAGCACGGCCGCGCCGCACCGCACCATGCTGGGAGCCGCCGCCGCCTCCCGCGCCCGTGAGGGGCGGGAACAGCGGCCTCTGAGGGCGGGCCCGGCGCGCAGGGGGCTGCGTGGGGAGGAGAGGGCAAGAGGGCGGGCGGGATCAGCGCCCAAGCCTTAGCCGTGCGGCTGCCGGCCGGGGGAGCGCAGAAGAAAGCGATCAGCCGCCCCCCGTTCCCGCTGGGCCTGCGGCCGCGCCGAATCTGGAGCGACTGGGCCTGCGCCGCCGCCTGCGCTGACGGCCTCTCACCGCGGTGCCGCCGCGGCCTGGCAGGGCCGGTCCCTCCGGAGCCGCCGGCACGGCAAGGTACAGGCCTGGTTTGCTGCAAGATGTCGGCTTCTCGCTGCAGTCCTCCCGCCCCCCCAAAGCATCTCAAGCCGAGAGGCGTCAGGGCGGTTTCAGGCGGAGGTGCGGTCATGGCCGCCTGAGAGGAGAGCAAGGAACCGTGCGGTTTGGGGCAAGATCCGCCATCTCCGGCCGCGTGTTCCCCCTGGAAGCGGTGTGCTGATAGAGTCATAGAATCATCTAGGTTGGAAGGGACCTTAAAGATCATCTAGTCCAACCATCAACCTAACTCTGACAAAAAATAAATGAGAAATAGGAAATAAAAAATACTAAACCGTATTCCTGAGGACCATGTCTACCCGTCTTTTGAACACCTCCAGGGATGGTGCCTCAACCAGTTCCCTGGGCAGCCCATTCCAATGCTTGATAACCCTTTCCACGAAGAAATGTCTCCTAATATCCAATCTAAACCTTCCCTGGCGCAACTTGAGGCCATTTCCCCTTGTCCTGTCTCCTGTGACTTGGGAGGTGAGACCGACCCCCGCTTCTCTACACCCCCCCTTCAGATAGTTATAGAGCACGAGAAGGTCTCCCCTCAGCCTCCTCTTCTCCAGACTGAACACCCCCAGCTCCCTCAGCTGCTCCTCATAAGACTTACTCTCCAGACCCCTCACCAGCTCAGTTCCCCTTCTCTGGACCCGCTCCAGCCCCTCAATGTCTTTTTTGTGGTGAGGAGCCCAAAACTGGACACAGCCCTCGAGGTGGGGCCTCACCAGTGCCCAGTACAGGGGGACCATCCCCTCCCGAGTCCTACTCCCCACTCTGTTCCTGACACAGGCCAGGATGCTGTTGGCCTTCTTGGCCACCTGGGCACACTGCTGGCTCCTGTTCAGCCCACAGGCCACCAACACCCCAGATACAGCATCTGCTGTTGGCTGTGCCCGTGCAGTTGGATCCCTTAAAGCCCGTTGGTCATAACGCTAATGCGTTCTCCCTCAAGAAAGTGGGACCTGACCTTTCCACAAGGCCAGTTTTAAGGATAAGGATGTCCATGTGTAAAGTACGTGGCTTTAATAAGGCTTATAGTGCTTTATGGTTCATAAGTGGTCACAAGTGAGAAATTACTTTGTAAGTCATGACATTAGTAAGGTCAGAAGGGTAAAACTGGTTAAAAAAATGCCCCCCCGAGTTAGTTCTTTCACAAGTCTTTATTTTGTAGAAAAGTTTTTTCAGACACTATGAGCATATTTTCAGTGATTTTTTTCAAAGCACAAATCCTTATTAAAAATCCTATTCTATTCCTTCTTATAGCCTTTCCACAAAATCATACATTCTCAGTTGCACTTGACAGCCATCTGAGCCAAATCAAAGCCATTTACAGTAATTTAATACTAAAAATAAGTTCAACAAGGGATTTTATCTGTTACAGAATAAAAAAACAATTTAGAAACCAGTGTTGTGCCATATACATGCTAAATGGCCCCAGAGAACATTAAAGTGGTATCTGGGATACATCACACCATGGGAGTGTTGTCCAGTGTCACTTTAAGAATGTAAATTTGGTTTTGTTAGCTGTTTGTTATTTTTGTTTCATAGTTGCTTCAGGACACCAGATTTGGACACTACTTACAAAATATGTGCAAAATAGTAGTTAGATGTTAGATTCTTCTGTGTATTATTGTTTGGTTTTCATGTTTGCTGTAATTTTCCTTTAATTTGTACACTATAAAAGTTAGGCCAATATCTACATTTAAAAATCGACCTATATATAGTTCTATATAGTTAGCTAATTAGGGCAAAGGAACTAAAATGTTAAAATTTTAGACATAGATTCGAAAAAAAAAAATTTATAAGAAATGGGGAAGAATGAATAAAAAATCCAAATTCCTAATCTTGTGCTTTTCAGCTGACCCACACTTCTCTCTCCAACTTAAAAAAGTAAACTGTATATTTTCCAACTGGGTTATTCAGAAGACAGTACAGATGCTGTCATTCCGAATGATTATTCCTGATGACTTCTGATGATCTTCATGAATGAATAAAATATAATAACATACTTCAATCAAATACAATTTTACAAGCTACTACGGTATGAAATGAGGTGGGTTTTTTGTCTTGAAGTGTAATATTCTATGGGAGTTTTTAGTAGTATTTTTAGAAGGCCTTAGTCCCCTTTATGAACCTTTTCTTTCCACCTACGTGTATGGAAAAACACATTCAAAAGCTTTTCAGTCTGTTGACTATTACAGAGCAGCTTTTTTCTGCTATTCTGTGTTATTTTTAGCAATCAGCTACATATTCTCCTTCAGCTAAAAATATTTATAATTTCTACCAACTGGACCTGCTTGTGTCATACTGTTACGACCGAAGTTAAATCCCCCAAATTCCAAGTAAGCCTTTCCTCAGTGCCAACCTGGACTGTAATTACTTATCTTTGAAAAGAAGAAAAATGACCTGGCCAATCACAGACCCGGAAGCCTGATCTCAATCTCATGCAAAGCTTTGGAGAAACTCAAATTTCCCATATTAATACTCTATTGATAAAACATTTGATATAGTATCAAATACTATTCCCGTGAAGGAATGAGAATATGGGGGTTAAGAGAGAAATTGTGAAGTGAGATAGCCACAAGTAATGTTGAAAAGGAAGATATCAGTCTTAAATGTTTGGGTTTAGGATGGTCTTATTTGATATTTTTTGTAGTAGCCCTGATAAAATCAATGAGATCATACTGATGAAATCTGTTAATGATATATATTTAGGCACCATCATAAGTACAGAAAGTGTCTCAGGAGATGCATTTCATTTAAAGTAGGGAGGTATTACTGTCATTGTTCAAGGCCCTGAGGAAATCTCACTTGGGGTGCTGTGAAAACTTCTAAAGAATTGTTCTATACTGAGCTAAGGTTGAACTGAAAGGGGTAGAGGGAGGTTAGGTGCATCACCAGAGAGCTTGAGAGCCTTTCCTACAAACAGATTTTAGGATGGCTCAGCTTGTTTACTTCAGTAAAACGAAAACAGAGAGGATATATGAGTGCTGTCAATAAATATATCAGGAAAGTAAACATGAAGGATGAAAACCATTTAATTTGCAGGGCAATGTTGACACAAGAACAAACAGGTATGGCCTATTCATGAATAAATATATCAGGAAATTAGAATAATGTTTCTAGTCATTACAGCAATCAAATGCTGAAACAGCTTTTCCAGGGAATCAGTGGGAGCGAAGATTTGCCCATTTTTAATATAGTACTTGATAAATTTATGAGGTGATTGCACAACAGAGCTTTCTATAGTGGCAGGGAACTAGGCCCCATCATTCAGAGGACCTCTCTGTTCTGTGTCACCATGCAAATTCACCGTACTGACAGCAGAACATTTTGTCCAGACGTATAGTTCATAATACAGGAAGGACCTGTCAGTCCAACAGGCAAGGTTCAGAAGTCCTTCCATACCCACAAGTTAGACTGTGCTACCGTGACTTCAGTGAAGCATACAATGTCAGCATTATAGAGAAATAATAGAAAAAAGGAGATCAGCAAAAGAACTTTCAAGTGAGATGAAGTAAGTGTGGGGAAGTTGCAGATCCAAGAAGGTTATTGGCAAAGTTCTTCGAGGATCAGGTCATAGGCCCTGACATCTCCTTGAATACCAGTACAAGTATATATCAAATTACCCCGTGTTTTCATGCTTTGTTCTTTGAATTTAGTGCTGTTGAATCATTAAGAGTGTTGAGAGCAGCAAGGTCTGTAGCTTGTTGACTTAGCAGAGCCTTATTTATACTAAGTGTGCTGAACGCCCTAGCACACAGCAGGAGGTGACATCCAACAACAGGTTAACGTGTAGACTGATGCCAGTAGAGATGCCAGCAGAGCTACTAACTGATGTGAATTCAACTCATGGAATCGCTCCACAGCTCAACCTCAGAAAAAGAGAAATAAAGAAAAACAGATCTCCTGTGGGTGTTGCGAGTCAAAGGTGTTAAACCCATTGACATAACACTGGGTGTATTTCAGCACTGAGCAAGCTTGTGCCACCAAGCTCATACCAGCAGGGAATCAAGTAACATTTCATTTGAAATTGCTATTGTGTATTTCCTGGAACCTTTTATACCAGTAAGTACATAATCACACACCCATGACGCTAAAAAATACTGAAATGGAATAATTTAAAATTCTAAAGTTTGAGGATATTTAGATGGTTTATTTTCTAAATACTTTACTTCAAAAATGAATCCGAGCACTTGAAGAGACACTCTGCTCTGCCTGGGCAGCACTGATTCGATCATCTTTTGATCTGTGCTGGCTGTTCAGTCAGTGGTGGGTGTGCCATACTCGAACCCCAGTGAGGGGGCTGTGAGCACCTCCCTGTCAGGCCTGATGGTAGAACATCACGCTGCTATTTCGTTGCTTCAGATGCTGCTAATCACTGATGCAGCGGGTGACTCAATTCTTTATCTTCAGTGAATCCTGTTTACGTAAGAGTGTGCAGGTGTGTAGTCACAGAGATATCTGTAATTCAGTCCTACAAAAGGCTGATAGTGTTTTAAAGCTCTCCAAACTGATTTATATGTAGTCATTGCATATTCTGAGTTTCATGCTAAATGATGCTTCAGTTCCTGCTCTTTCTGTTCTCATTGTGTACGTCACATACTGGTATATGATAGCTTGAAAATCACAAGGGTACTGCTCTATCAAGTCATGGTTTTTCCACTCTGCTCCTTTTCTCTCATTATAGAAATCACTTGGTAGTGCGCTGTCATCACCTCTGATTAAGCTGTAAAATCTCTCCACAACAATTTTAAAGTTTCTGGCAGCACTTTGTTTAAATTTGTACTTTATGTGTTGTTTTTCTCGGTCTAGAGAAGAACTAACTTTGGTGGAAATATTTAAAAATTAAGATGAAATATTTT